GCCAACTGAAGAGGTTGCTATCTGCAAGGATGTTGAACACTCCCTGGATGTGAACCGCATGGAGAGATAAACCCCCCTAGAATCCAGCAGACGCGTCACCCGAAGTGACCAGCCCCAAAGAGCCAAGGACAGAAGAGAACTCCCGTGGTTCAGACAATGAACCACCGGAGCGCAGTCTGAATGGCGCTGGATCGTAAAACCCCCTACCAACCCGATCCCTCCGCAGCGAAAGCCAAACCGCCGCAAACTCCCGCACTGTGCTGTGAGCCAGACAGAAGGAAGGAGCCCACCGCCCCTGGCCAACCTGGTAAGCATGGGCCACAAAGCCCCAGCCAAGAGACGAGGTGTCCGTGAACACATTAGGGCAAGGGGAGGGGTCAAGGCACTGAACTCCAAAAAACCCGAAGAGGAAGCCAGCAATGCAGGAACTGACCCAAGGCCCACGAGGGTCAAACCCAGCAGTCGCGAGACAGGTGGAAGGGACGTCCCCGAAGAAGCCAGAACAGGCACCGAAGCCAGACCTAACCAGGCGGGTAAACCAGCACGGAAAAATTCAGACACCCACGCAACTGCTTGAGCATCCGCCGAGTGACCTGGGACGAACAACTGAGGGCAGGACCACAGATCACACTCGCAGCAACGCCACAGGAATGAGAGACATGGAAGTGGTCCGAGAGTCCCACACAAGGGCCAGCCAGGTCCGAACCTGGGATAGAACCAGACGGGACTTCCTCCAATTCACTAGGAACCCAAACCCAGTGAGCTGGTTAAGAACCAAACCCCTGGCAAGAAGACAAGCGGGTTTCATCCCACCTGAGGGAAGAAGTCGTCTCAACCACCCCCAAGCGTACCCACTCTAGGATGACCTGACAAAGCGAAGGGAAAGAAGCCTGCCCCGCCAGCCCCAATGCTCCAAGAGGAGGAGGAGACACCCAATGCCACCACAGGCCAGAGACACAACCCAAAACACCCACAAATCATGGGAACAAGCATGGGCAAACAGAGCAGGCCTCCCAGTCTCCCTCCCAGGCAAAGTCCGGGTCTCGCAGGATGTACGCGCTAAGGACCTCCCAAACCTTAGCAGGGAAAATCTGAGAGGTGGAAACCCTCTGGAAAGACGAAGCCGTGGAACCCAAACGAACCCGGAAAGGAACACGGGGAGGCATCGAACCCACATCAAACTCATACATGGAAGGGGGATACAAAAACTCCGAACCTCGCAACAGCAAACTCCGCCCTGAAGGCACCAAGGCATAGGCAGGATCGAACTGGGATCAAGTCGTTCCTCCCCAGCCCCAGAAGCCTCATAACCAGGCTCTGGAGCAGAGCTGACCTCCACGCCCTCCTCCTTAAAGAAAAGGCAGAGTCCAGGGACAAGGCATCAAAGAAGGGGGTCTGCTGGTAAGACCCAGGGGCCAGATTCACGAAAGCACTTACGAACCTGTACATCTTTTCTCAATCTTTGGCGGCTTTGTTTACAATTATTAAACAGTTAATGACCTCCGAAGCACCAGGAGGCTGTTTATAACAATAACAACAGTTAAATGGGACGTTTTCATGCTTGTAAACTGTTTAATAAATGTAACCAAAGCCATCAAAGATTGAGGAAAGATGTAAACGTTTGTAAGTGCTTGCGTAAGTCCTTTCGTGAATCTAGCCCCAGAAGCCTAGGCGGGAGGATCAGGCTCAAAGGCCTCCATCCTTGCATCGAATAGGGCAGCCCCTGGAGCCGCCAGAGTAGATCCCGCAGCCCTAGCGCATTTAAGCGGGCAACCAACCTAGCTCATTGCAATAACCTGAACCTAGTATGCAACGTGACAGCCACTTGACTCCCCTAACATCTCCCGAAGAAGAAAGTAATTATCCATTACTAGTTGGATAATGAGTGGGGAACGAGTCTCGCACAATTCCGAGTCGAAGGTGTCGTCGACCCAACAAGCAGCATGACAGAAGCTAAACAGATCATTGTCACTCTGAGACAAGGACAACAAACATCCCTCAAACTCGCACAAGGCGAGATGGGACTCTTAACATATCCAAGGTCACCCGAGTCCTGACAGGAGTTTCAAAGGCCTGCATGGGGAGGTGTCCCTACGTGAAGCCCAGGCAGTGGTGCTGCACAGCTAGCTGAACCCCATTTAAATACAGGGAAAACTGACCCAGGAGAAAGGGAGCAATCTCGGGGGCCGAGTGGAAGACTACCAAACGGAACCTAGGCATACCTAATGGGAAGCCAGGCGTACCTAATGGGAAGCCAGGCAGACCTCCACCTGGCAGGATAGAATCTAAAAAGAATGAAAAGAAACCCCAAGAGTGCACCACAACAACAGGAGGCCAGAGAAAGAGGCACGGCAACCGCTAGTAGGCGAGCTGCGCAGCACCATGTGCACCGACCAGCAATAAACACTCCCTACCCACGACCAAACGAAAGCACCAAGATCACTGCTAACCCAAGGGCGAGGCCGATGTCAAGCGACAGCAACCCCTACGAGACTGAGAACCCGAAAACCACAGGGAAGATAACCCTGAGACCCAAGGGATGTACTTACAAGGCACCTAGGGAAGATAGCCCCAAGCACATGCAGCCCAAAGTACCGGGTACTCCTGGCTAATGCCCCAACACACAGCAGGTACAACCCCTAGTGGCAAAATGCTGACAGGAAATGGTAGCCAGAGTAGACGTCAGCCCCAGCCGACTTCAGTCGACGAACTGGCGGTCTAGTGGCCAGCTCACTGCGGCAGGGACCTCCTTGTCCCTCTTTGGGGCCGGCGCAAATGAGTGGCACGTCGGGTTGATGACGATTTGCTTGTTACTTTGTTTCTCTCAGGGGAAGTTCTTGAGCTCTGTTCGGTCTTGGGTTGGACTTTTCTATCAGTTGGGGTCTGTTTTGAGGGGTGCTTACCATTCTGAGTGCCTAACCAAGGGTCAATGACAGATATGAATATACAGTGACATCTTGGCTTATGAATGCCCCTCTTTACAAACTTTTCGGGTTACGAGCCAATTTCTTTGTAAAATCCAAATTAGGTTACGAACTTTGCCTTGGGAAATGAAGTTTGTTGATACGCGCAAGGCCGACCTAGCGCATGGTGGTGCGGTGACCGCACCTCAGTTTACCAGTGCCTCCTGCCTAGTGACAATCGTGCCAGAATTCTTTGTAAAGAATTTCAGTGTTTTTCGGATTTTTGGGTATTTGAACATAAGTTATTATTATATATCTCGCCATGGGTCCCAAGAAAGCCAGTGGTAAGATTCAAGCCAAAAAAACACATGTGAGAATGAACATAGAAGAAAAACAAGAGATCATTCGTAAACATGAAAATGGTACACTGGTTGTTGATAAGAGGCAGCTGAGGAAATGTCTTCAGGGGAGGAGGAGGCAGTACAGAATGCCCCTTCCTCAATAATTAGGAAGTGGTGTAGACTGTGGGAAGAAATGCAAACTTTTGTTGAAATGACTTGCCCAGAGCAAGCTGTAGTAGGTTCTTGCATTAACCTTTTCAATGACACTGATGCCTCACTACGGACATGTGTTACAATGAAGGGAAAACAATCCTCTATGGATAGATTTTTAGTGAGAAAATCAAGCAGTGAGCCACAAGCAGGTCCTAGTGGTATTCAGGCAGAACGTATGTGTGTGTACCCCCCAGAGAAATCATCACTGCCTGATGTTATAATGGAAGGGGACTCCCCTTCCAAACACTAACACCTCTCCTCCTCCCCCCCCCTCCTCACTGTGCCTCCATACGCCAACAAGAGTCATCAATAAAGGTAAGCAATAACTTGTACATACAGTACTTTAGTACTAAAGATTTGGGTGAATTTGGGATAAAATTTACTTTGAAGTTAATTTTTGGGGGAATGTGGAACGGATTAATTCAATTTACATTATTCCTTATGGGAAAATTCGCTTCCGTTTACGAATTTTCGGCTTACAAACCGTCTCTGGGAACGGATTAAATTCGTAAGCTGAGGTACCACTGTTCTAACGAGTGGAGTTTTCATAGGCCATTACTCCCTTCGCCTCTGTGAGGGAACCAGGTTCTGGCTCGTGATTCTTGGTAGGCATAAGAACTCCGTATGACTGAAGCCCTAGACTAATATAGCTAATATCAGTCTGATAGCTCCAAGAAGCCGACGGGGCTCCCCTCACAAAATTACAAAATAATAGAATTATTTTTTTCTTGGGACATGGTTAGCTATTACAATTATATAGTGCTATAATAACCATATGTATATAAGTGGTGTACAAACTGGGCACTAATAAAGAAAATTGTAAAAGAACACTAACTGCAGTGTTCCAGATCAAGAAGTGATGACGGCCACATTTTAAGGGTTACATTTACTTGAATATGCAATACTATACACTCTTCACCATACAAGCTCACCATAGCCCGTGCTACTTGGAACTTTTTGTTCCAAGTAGCTGAATCTAAAGCAACAACAACAACTCTTTCACCAGTGTATCACCTGTTTATTAAACATCACCAAATTATCCCTGTAATTTCAACCATATGATATAATTACTTTTATCCTACACATCTTTCCATGCCATTTTCATTTCTTATTACACAGGATTCTCAAATTATAAAATACTACTGTACTTCTGAAATTCTTAATTTTTCACGTTCACATGTACACAAACTTATGCATCTCTACTCTGCACGAGGTATTTCCAAAAGTATCCCTCTTGCGTAACTTGAAGGGCTGAAGTACTACACTGTCTAAACATTCTCTTAAATTTTGATAAAGCTAGTATTTTATTTTGTTTTGTTTTATCAAAACAATAACCCTCACTCTTCTTTTTATAAAATCAGTTTAATCCTTACAATATTATTAAATGGAACTTGAAGTTCCATTTAGTATCACTATGGTTTGTCTAGTTATGTACCAACCTCTCACGCAGCACTGATGCTACTGTACACAAATCAACAAACTTTCACATAATCAAGAGAATGTACTGTAAATTCACATATATAATTTAAGACTTAAAGCATACCTTTGAATGTTTATGTAAGTTGCTATTTTCCATCTTGGTGGGTAAGTCTGTTGTTGGAGGAACTGGCAATCCAGCACTTGAAGTAAATACCCCTGCCAAGTGCCCTGTGGTGGTGAACTCAAGCAGGGCATCAAGCATCCAGAAACAATCTTTCTGAAGGTGGCTGTTGTCTAGGCAATTAGAGTCGCCATACACGACCAAGCGACCACAATGATGCTGACTGTTATCACCTACTTCTTCATTAGTGTTACCTTTGGTCTGGAGCAAACCTAAGATTGGGACATCTGAAATAAAGAGATGACTAGAAATGCACAGAACAAGGAAATTGTACAATAAATATGTTCTTAAAATTATTAGACTAACAATTACAAAATTATAAACAACATAAACCTAATATAGATAATTCCAAGATTAAGTTCATAAACAGCTTCTGCACAGAATCTAGTTCACCACTCAGCATTAAACATATCTTCACATTAAGTGCTTCCCCCCACCCCCCAAGAAAAACAAACATGGCAGAGTGATTATGATCCTCTATTATTATGAAAGCTATACAGTATAAGCTAACCACATTCTCAGTGTAAAACTTAACATATTGTAGCTCTTTATTATAAGTTACACTAAGGTATAGCTCAATGGTAATATATTTTGCATTAAAAGCTATATTACAGTGCAGTACAACCTCGATTCAACGTACCCCGATTCAACGAATCTCCGGCTAGTTCGCACACTTTTCAGGCCGGATTTACTCACCCGGTTCGACAAACAATGATTCGCCGAAGCGGGGGATGTTCGGATTTGCTTACAACGTCGAGACAAACTGGTGGAAAACTTTCCCATTCTATCACAGATTACAATTATTAATTCCTTCATATGACAAGTTCTATCACACAAGTGGACCACACAAGTGGACTACACAAGTGGTCCACAAGCTTACGATGTTGGGACAGAGTTCACAGAGTGGTGGAAAACTTTACCATATATCACAGATTACAATTAATAATTCCTTCATATGACAAGTTGGATCACACAAGTGGACCACACAACAAGTGAACCATATGAACCAAACACCAGCCAGAATGGTCCACACAAGAAGTGATGCATATTAACCAAATACCAGCCAGAGTGGTCCACACAAGTGAACGACGGAGTTTCAATGATTTTCGTTCACCAATTTGTGGCACACGTATCTTTGTAAATTAATTTAAAGGCTGAAGCGTGAATAGCTAGCTAATGTGTTGAAACCTACTTATATACATTTTCTGTAATGAAACAAGATGAGTGAAAGTGGACAGATAAGGGAATACTGTACAGTAAACCTCACTGTACAGTGAGGTTTCACTCACTTTCGTCTGTGTTGTCATAGTTCAGTAACCCATGACTTTGAATGTTTCACATTAAATCATTTCTAAAACTGGTGTTTTAATAACTTTATTATTCAAATTAAACTAAACTAAATAAAACCAAAAATATACTGTAATATGATAGATATCTGCTATTTGAGAAATTATTCACGTTATTGGTGGCACAACTCCAGCACGAGTGGACGGGTCTAATCCCTGTCCACACAACGCCATGCTTGTTTTGTTCGATTTCGTCGCAACAGTTCAGTGATCTACGGCTTCGAAATAATAAAATTAATAAATCAGTTCCAAAGTAAGTACAGTGGAACCTCTATTAACGAGTTTAATCCGTTCTGGCACCGAGCTCGTTACCTGGAAAACTCGTCTTAAGAAACAAATTTCCCCATTTAAAATAAAGGAAATAAATTTAATCCGTTCCACTCCCAAAAACATCCATACTTGTATGACTTTTTTTTATGTAAATATAATACTGCACATGTAAATATAAATGTTTTGTTGTAGTGTTTTAATATTTACTTTACCTTATGAAGAGTCGTTGCTGGCTTGAGGGAGACGATGGGGAGGTGGGAAGGAGGAGAAGGGTTATGGTGTGGAAGGAGAATCCACCTTTGAGTCAGGCGGACTCTCTGTTCTTGGGAATTTCACTCAAATTTCATTTCAAATTATCACAAAGTGATAAATTAATTAAACATTTTCACACACCGGGTTGTCACTGCTTTATCAGGGCAGCTTTTCCAAGAATGCGTTCACCTTTTCAAACATTCCAAACACTTCCCTGATCTCAGTGGAAGAGGCAGCATCCTCCCTTACCTCCTCATTCCCTTACTAATGGTGTAAATTGTTGATGAGGACCTGCCATACTCCCTTGTGAGATCAGTCACACAGACACCACACTCATGCTTTGCTATAATTTCCTTCTTTAAATCCACAGTAATTGTGTCTTTCTTCCTCTTGACAACACTATCTTTAGCAAGCAGCTTCTTTGGAGACATCGTGTGTTACACATTGTAGTCGCAAAACCACTAAAAACCCAAAGAAAAGCTCAAATAAATCTAGAGGGATGCTTGTCGTGTGTGAACAACAACACTGGCGCCGGAGGCGTCCGAGAATTTGCGAGAACCCGCGAGATGCTAGGAAGCACCATGTGGTTTTGCTCGTTAATAGAGGCGAGCTCGTCAATAGAGACAAATTTGCTGCGAGTGGCTTGCTCGTTACTGGAAAAACTCGTTAATAGAGCCACTCGTTAATCGAGGTTCCACTGTATTTTTTATAGCTCTTATTACCGTAATAATGTTGCTAAACTGAACATGTAACCTAAAAATATATAATTTGATGTAAATCGAATATTTGGGAGAAATTTATGTTACTGGAAATCGAACACAACACCAGGTGTGTTTTGTTCGATTTCGTCACCACAGTTCAGTGACCTACGGCTTCGAAATAATAAAATTAATAAATCAGTTCCAAAATAAGTATCTTTTATAGCTCTTATTACTGTAATAATGTTGCTAAACTAAATATATAACCCAAAAATATATAATTTGATGTAAATCGAATATTAAAGAGAGGTTTATGTTACTGGATCTGGCGTAAACACCAGCCTACTGAAGGGTGTACGTATAGACTTAGTCTGCGTTCGTACAGTATGCACCCTTAGCTTTGTCTGCGATTGACATACAGTATTTATCCGCCGGTGGAAGAATAATTGTGGAATTGATCAGTTTTTTACTACAGCTCTTTGGTTATAAAGCAAAATGTCTCAGGGGCTTACTAATAGTGCCTTATTAATGCCAAAAATGAAGCAATATTTTGCAAGAACTAGTAGCAGAAAATCAACCAGCCCGAGCACAGCCGTACCCAGCACGAGAACAGCCGTACCCAGCAGGAGAACAGCCATACCCAACACAAGAACAGCCGTACCAAGCACGAGAACAGCCGTACCAAGCACGAGAACAGCCGTACCAAGCACGAGAACAGCCGTACCCAGCTCGAGAACAGCCGTACTCAGCAAGAGAACAGCCGTACCAAGTACAAGAACAGCCATACCAAGCACGAGAACAGCCGAACCCAGCACGAGAACAGCGGTACCCAGCACGAGAACAGCCATGCCCAGTACGAGAACATCCGTACCCAGCACGAGAACAGCCGTACCCAGCACGAGCAGAGTTGTACCCAGCACTGGTACAACAGCCGTACCCAGCACGAGCACAGTTGTACCCAGCACTGGTACAACAGCAGCCAGCACCAGCTCAGAAGCAGCTGAACCCACAGCTGCAGCGAGCACCAGCAAAGCTGATGCAAACATCTCAAAACATCGTGTGCGGCATGAACAGTTAGAACAAGTGTTAAATTTAAGTGTGTACACAGTGTTAAAATTAAAGTTGCAGTAATTTTAGTGTACAATAGTTTTCACAAACTGTATTGTAGTACTCAACATACAGCAGAACTACTTTTAATCAACACAGTGCTAACGGCATAATGCACTAAAGCACGTATTTACTGTAGAGCATTCACAACTTCACAAAACATCAAGATGGACATAACTCCAACAATAAAGTAAATATTATGAATTACAGTATTTTTTAGTAGAGAAGTAATATATAGGTACAGTATGTAATATGATAATGCATTTTTATTGTGTACAAGAAAAAAAAAAAAAGACAGACACAAACGCCTCCTGAAGGTCACCTCTTGCAACGAATCCAACGCTCCAACGAACTGCGGTTGGTCCCATATAGTACGTTGAATCGAGGTTGTACTGTATATGAATTGTCTTATTATAATGATTATTTTTATTACTTTATTATTATTATTATTATTAGTATATTTTGTTATTGCTGAAATCAGTAGGAGCCGTGAGGAGAATTTGAACTTATACTCTGGGTACTCCCAAGCAAATGCCTTAACCCTTAAACTGCGCAACGTGCCTGCAGGCCCACGTCTGGTTTGCACAACGCGCCTCCGGGTATTTTTTTTTTTTTTTTTTTTTTTTTTTTTTTTTTTTTGAGATATATACAAGAGTTGTTACATTCTTGTACAGCCACTAGTACGCGTAGCATTTCAGGCAGGTCCCTTGAATACGATCCCTACCGCGAAGAATCGTTGTTACAACCAAGTACACATTTTACTGTTGTGTTAAACAGAGGCTACAGTTAAGGATTTGTGCCCAGTAAATCCTCCCGGCCAGGATACGAACGCATGACAAAGAGCTCGCGGAACGCCAGGCGAGTGTCTTACCACTACACCACGGAGACGTTTTATTTTTCATGTTCCATTCAAAACTCCCGTGACTACATGGGGTTCACATCAGCTTCTTCTGGGCTCTTGTAAACAGACACCATCTTTAAAAAAAATCATGGTCCACATTCCTGGGTGTGAGAGCCTCAGTACTGAGTGAGCATCCAAGGCTGGCGCTCGCAGCATGAGCGCACAGCACTGTTGTTCAGCGTGTGACCACAGCATCAGCTAATAATGTCAAAATATATATATATTGTATTATTTAGCCATGATAGTATTATAGAAGAGCCTGAGTGTGATAATGACTGGGTACAATGTTCAAATATCAGTGATTCAATGCTGTTCATGATGTTCACAGCGCTAGCCACAGCACCACAGCATTATTTCGTCCATCTAGGAATCTTCAAATGACTTCTTAGGTTCCTTTTCAAAATAAACGTGTGGTCAATTATTCATTTACAGGAATTAGTGACAAGGACTGTGATAATAGCAGGATTGTGGTTATAATTAGTATTGTGCGTAGTATTGTGAAAGGAGGAATTTTAGTGAGGAAGGGAGGGAGAGAATTGAGGTAGCCTCACTGTGTGTGTGTGTGGCAGCCACTCTTGTTTTGCTCACCATACTAGCTTAGTGGTTCACTATGGGGAACACATTTGTACATGGGTATATACAGTGTGTGAATAGTGAATATAGTGTAATAACAGCAACAGGAGTATGTTGAGAGGAGCTATTTTGGTGAGGGAGGTGACGTCATAATCGTAGTGTCGTCTGCTGTCTGCTGTGTGATTTCTCATGCAGTGTATGGTGGCAACTGTACTGTTTGGACACAATACCGGCTTACTTGCAGTTCTGGTGAATAAAACATGTAGATAGGTATACGTAACATATGTAAATAATGTAATAAAAACAGTAAGAGTATGGTGGGAGGAGGGGTGATGGTGAGTATGATGTTGGAGGAATAAGGGAGGACTGGCTGGCTGGGTGTGGCAGCTCACACTTGCGGAGTTCTGAGTGTGTTTATGGTGTGTGACAGTGTAGTGTGTGTAAATGTGTTGTAAATATAAATAAATGAACCTGAAACATTGGTGTGAATAACAGTATGATGGGAGGAGGGGTGATGGCGAGTACGATGTTGGAGGAATAAGGGAGGACTGGCTGCCTGGGTGTGGGTGCTCACACTCGAGGAGTTCTGTGTGTGTTGATGGTGAATGTATATACTGTGTGACAGTGTATAGTGTGTAAATAGATTGTATATATACATAAATTAGCATGATATATGGTAAATATGTGCAACATATGTGTACACAAGTGTCATGCAGGTAACACAGTGTATTCGGACAGTACAAATGTTTTACTGCCATAATATAGTGTACATGTTCATTATACATAGGATTAGCACTTAAAAACAAATAAAATGTATTTGGAATTTGGAAGTGTGCGCAAAAAATGAACAAAAAAATATTCGCGGCAGCTCGCGCGCCCCTCCCCTGGCGCCCTACTGGCCCCGGGAGCGTACGTCACGGGCAAATGGGGAATGATGACTTCACGCACCAACTTACGGACCCTATAGCAGCCAAAGTACGTACAATGTCAAATTTTTTTTGACATACCCATACTGAGGGAAAGGTTTTTGACACTTTAAAAAAACAAAAGAATTTTTTACAGAGAATTTATTTCCTGCACACTGGGGGGGGGGGGTGTCATATTTGGAAGCCGAGCAGTTAAGGGGTTAAGACAGTGTAGTTGTCTGAGGCATTTGCTTAGGAGTTCCCAGAGCATAGGTTACAATCCTCCTCACGGCTCTTACTGATTTCCTCATTGATACTACCTGTACACATTAATGTGATCTTTGGGGGCATTTCAAGCGGAGCGTTGGAAGGTAGAATTCCTGGACTACAAAGCAAGAGTGCATGGGGGGGGGGGGGGGAATTGCACAATACACTGATTAGGCTTCAGTGGAAGCCTCAGGAATCCTATAGGATTCAGTTGAATCCCAGGTAACAATTCTTTAGTTATGCTGTGGTGTACTTGTCTAGGACATTTGCTTTGGAGTTCCCAGGGCATAGGTTCGGATCCTCCTCCCGGCTCCTACTGATTTTCTCATTGATACATCACATTAGTGTGATTTCTTTGTGCATTATTATTATTATTTAGCAGTATTATTATTATTATTATTATTATTATTATTATTATTATTACCATGCACCAACTGTAATGATTTCTTTTTCTTTTTAATATCATTTGACATCGAACCCATAAATCTAATAATAGAGGAATTGTCGATGTTTCGGTTTGTCCTGGACCATTATCAAGTCACGTAAATGAGGGATGTATCCTTATCTTGTATACTGACTGACTTTTATCACTTTCTCTATCACTCTTCACACAACTTGATAATGGTCCAGGATGGACCGAAATATCATCAATTTCTTCATTTTCAAATTTGTGGGTTGAGTGTCCAATTTTTTGCTACATTATCATGACTCATTATCTGCTCATAGTTTCATTATTCATGGTGTTAGTAATTTTTCATATGATATTATCCTGTGTATCTAAAAAAGCCCAATTCACATCTATAAATCCACCTATAAAAACAAGAATCCCTTCATGTTATATTCTTTATTCACTTTATATGAAAAAAATATATTCTTAATTTACCTGGTACACTCTCACTTTCTGCTTCCAGCATCTCTTTGGCATGATCACTGAGTGTCTTACGAACAACAGTGCCCTCCCGTGGAAACTGTGCAAGTGAAGTTCCCGTGGCGTAGTACATGTCACGATCACCAAGTGTAAAATCACCTTCATACACACCATCACTTAGTGCCACTCCCCAGGAGGCCAGCAGGTAGTTGAGAGCAGGAATGTTGCTTCCACCTGTAACTGGCATCCACAACTGCCTGCAAGAGCATATACACACACACACATTAGTAAATATGCTCATATTACTATCATCTATACCTTCTTTTCCACAACAATTAATGGAATAATATAATATAATCCCAGAACAAAATGTCATAACAAGCTAATATACTTCTAGTCATTTCATTGTGACCATACAGTACTTCAATAGATTCTAAAATGTTGCAATTATCAAGGATGATCATTTTCATTAAATTATATTGTTTAAAAATAACACTTACTTGGTATTTTCATCATAAAACTTCACTTTCTTCATGACATTAACATTGTACCAATCAGCAAAAACTATTACAGATAATCCTTTCTCTACATCTCGTCGTAATTTTGTCACTTCCTCTGGAAAATATTCTTCTTCAGGGTCAACAATCATTAGTGTTCCATATTTGCTGGCATCAAAACAAGTAAATGGAGAACCCAAAACTTCAATGTAATAACCACTGTTGCGCAAGTGCTGGTACATATCCTTAAAATTGGTATGAATATGATCAGCATTCCAGTCAAGAGGATCATTAGTCATCCGTAAATTGTCTCTGGGAAAGTATCCAGGAGGATAACGCAGATTATGGAACTGATCCCAGAGAACGCGCTTGTGTCGTGGTGGTGTCGGTATCATCTTGGCTTTAACAGGAAGTTTGACATGTGAGGTCCTTGGCTGTGTCTCCCCCTCTTCTGGAGGAGATTCAATGGTAACAGAAATATGACCCCGAGCAAAACCTTCCCACTCCTTGCCACTCTCTGCAACGGTAATCCAAACTGCAAGATGACCTGACCATGGCCATAATACCTGCAGTATTAAAATATCATCTTAGTATACTATACAGTACATTGAAGTTTTGCATAACTTTACAGTTTCTTCTTCACATCGGATATTGTTTTAAGTAAGCATCATTACAAAATAAATACATCACCAGTACGAAAGGTACAGTATTCATGGTGAATTTTAAAATTGAATTATGTAATATTTATACTGTAAAATATTTAGCTCCACAGCAAAGAATATAATAATAATAATTATAATACAGTATGCAAAAAAATCACATACAAAGTGATACAGTATATCAACTATAAAATCAAGCGAAGCACTGAGGTGACTTGAACCAGCAATCAAGGAGCTCCAGACTTCCTGTGGATTCTGTGGAAAAATATCCAACTCTGCTAAGTTAGAATATAGCATATACAAGTTATAGCCATAGGCCGCATGAACAAAGCATATGGGCTTAGCCAAGATATTTTTAGATCCTATACCAATAGGACTCTTGGTGGTAGTAAAGGAATCGTCGATACAGTGAATTATGACGTCATATGATGCTATACAAAATATAGGTGTCAGTTGTGGTTCCTTTTTTAGGGTACATAAATAAAACAAATTGTCACTTAAACATCAATGTTAAAAAAAAAAAAAAAAGGGTTGAATGTAATGAAATGCCATTTTCTGGGCGAGACCCAGAGGCTCCCTGGAGCTATCCAGTCTGATACTGCTAATACCAGACTTTGTCATGTGTATGTCATGACATGGCTTCAGTGTCATGTGTGTATGGAGTTCTTTGGGTCTACCAGCGGCCACGAGCCAGAACCTGGCCCCCCTCACAGAGGCACGAAAAACAATGTCCTTTACAAACCCCCGTGTGGTTGAAAGCATTTTATGTCTGCCATTGACCAGGTCAGGCATCCAGAAATGTAGGCGCCCCAATATAAACCCCTATTCTGGTGAAAATTGCTACAAAAAGCTGAACTAGTAGACAGAACTCCCCAAACAGAAACGAGTAAACGAGCATGACGTCGCACGTTGCCAGTCGCACGTTGCCACACTGCTGTCTGCGCAGCTCCCCCCCCTCCCCGGGAAGGGGGAGTCCCAGACCCCTCCCTTGGAGGGGAAGGGGGAAGCCCCAAACTCCTCCCACTGGAGGGGAAAGGGGAAGCCCCAGACAAACCCCACGCCGGCAATCCACATCCCAGTTCTTAGGGTGGATATCAAAACACGTGAAAAAACGCTGACCGGGGGAAGGGAGGGTTGCCGGGGAACCTCAGGGATCTCACCCAGAAAATGGCATTTCATTACATTCAACGCTGGTTTTCTGGGGGAAGCCCCTTTGGCTCCCCGGAGCTACATACCAAAAGATGAAAACCAGAGGGACTTACCTGGGAGGTGGTCGCCGCTCACTCCTCAATGTTAAATCAAGACAACTGGCTGCAACCGCCGACCCAAAGCGACACAGGCCCGACTAGGCCCAGGAACATTCACCAAGTAATGCGCAGCCAAGATCCTATTCAACCTCCAAAAACCCCGCGCCCGAATGTCAACCCCAAGACACGTTACGAAAAACAGCAGCAAGTGCAACAAACTTATGAACGTCATGGGCACAGGGAAAGACTGCAGGCTGACTAGACCAAATAAAAGAAGGAGACGGCTACAAACGAATAAACCTACCACCAGGACCAAACCAACAGAAACCCCTGCACCGGAGGAGAGCATGAAGGTCCCCTACCCGACCCCCAGACGCCAATGCCAACATGAAAAGAGCCTTAAAGAAACAGTCCTGAACCGAAGAGGTCACAACAAACCGAGGAGAAGAGAGAGATAAGAGAGCACCCTGTCCAGTGACCAGGACAGCTCAAGAGGCGCATGAGCTGGCGAGAGGTGAAACAACACACAAGACAGCTTGCGAAACGTTGCAGAAGTAACACCAATACTGAAAGCAAGTTGTAGCGGCTCCGCTAGCGCCACACAATAGGAAGCGACAGTATTCTGCATTAGACGACTGTCCTGGAAGAACCAAGACAGAAAGGACAAGTCAACAGACAGCGACGCACACCTATGAGGCGAAAGAAATGGAAGGACCACCAAGAGACCTCATACTGCCGCCAACACGAAGCCCGCAGGTGGGACAACATCAACAAAGCCACCTGACCACCACAGAGATGATGATAGACCAGAGTCAAAAATACCATACGCGAAAACAGGAGGAGATCAAACCAGCCACGTAACATACCGGACCGATCAGCTGAAAGAGGCGGAGTCGCAAGGAAAATCTCTGGGTTCAGACACTGAGCAAGCAGCAGCTGAAACCAAGGCTGGGCCGGCCACAACAGGGCCAAGAGGACTACTCTCCCCTGGTAAGTCTCCAAGCGAGTCAGGATCTGGAGCAACAGCGCAACCGGGAGGAAAGAGGTACAGGAATCCCCACCTCGACCAGTCCTGCAGAAAGGCGTCGACCCCAACATCCTCGCAGTTGCGGAAGGGTGCCACATACATCGGAAGGCGCCGCGACCACGCCGACGCGAAGAGGTCCACCTCTGGGCGCCCAAACATCTGGCAGAGCCAACTGAATGAGTCGGCGTTGATCATCCATTCCGTGGACAGGGGAACGAACCGAGACAGGCCATCCGCCAAGACGTTGGACACCCCCTGAACGTGAACTGCCAGGAGAGCCAAACCCTGAGAACTCAGCAGACTAGTCACCCAAAGCGACCCGCCCCAAAGAGCCAAGGACCGTATCGATCCCCCTCGGTTCAGACAATGAACCACCGGGAAGCAGTCCGAATGGAGCTTGATCATTGATCCACAGGCGACCCGAACCCTCCGAAGATAAAACCACACCGCCGCCCACAGCACCATGCTGTGGGCAGAAGGATGGATCCCACCACCCCTGGCCGGCCTGGTGAGCACTAGTTACAAAGCCTTAGCCGAGAGACGATGCGTCCATGAACATATCGAGCGAGGGCTCGGGTAGGCGCCAAGGGACTGAACCCCGAAAAACCCAATGAGGAAGCCGGCGACGCAGCAACCGACATAAAGCCCCCACAGGGGCCAAACCCAGCGATTGTGAGAGAGGCGGAAGGGACATCCCTGAAGGAACCAAAACAGCCGACGAAGCCAAACCCAACCCAGCGGATAGACCAACATCGCAAAGTTCAGGCTCCCACATAGACCCTCGAGCAACCGTCGGGTGATACGGGAGCCTCCCAGAAAACTGCAAAGGCAGGACCGCAGGCGAAGCAGAGATTCCGGAGGGAGAAACAAGAAAGCAGCCCGAGAGTCCCAAACAAGACCCAACCAAGTCCAAACCTGCGAGGGGACCAGATGGGACTTCCTCCAGTTCACCAAGAACCTGAACCTGGCAAGCTGATAAAGAACCAAATTCCTGGCAAGCAGAAAAAACGGACCAGCTGGGAGCCCATGTCAGTCAGTCATCGAGGTAGGCCAGCACCCAAACACCTAAAAGATGCAGACGAGCTAACACGACCCATGTTAGGCGTGTAAAAACGTGAGGTGCCAGGTTCAACCCGAACGGGAGACAACGAAAGTGGTAACTCTAACACCCCACAACAAAACCGAGCCAGTCCCTTAACCCTGGATGAATCGTGACATGCCAATACGCGTCCCAGAGGTTCAGGGACACCAACCAAGCGCCCGGCTCCAGCAGAAGGACCAGGGACAGCGTAGTCATCCTAAAGAAGGGGATATGAACCCAGAGGTTCAGATGGGACAAGTCCAGAATGAACTGCAGGTCCGCACAGTCCTGTTTTGGGACTGGGAACAAACGGGAAACCCATCTGAGAGATGTCGTCATTTCGACCACGCCCAAGTGAACCCACCCCCAAGACAACCTTACAGCGCAGGAGAAGAGGCCTGCCCCGTCAGCCACGAGCCCCCTGAAGGAGAACTGGTCACCTAACGCCACCGCAGGCCGTCGGAAATGACCCGAAAAGCTCACAAATCGTGAGACCAGGCGTGAGCGAACAGAACAAGCCTACCCCCTGTGGTCCCGTTAATGGGACAAACCGCGAAAGGGCCAGCAACCCTTACGAGAACTCGAGCTTCGCACAGAGCGAACACCACGCAGACCAGACGAAGACGGTTCCGAAGGCAGCGCCGCCTTCGAAACTGGCACCAGTGGCCTACCTAGACGAGCGGAACCCCGAGCCCTGGCATGACCCCTCCGGGAAGACCTCCTCCCCCCCCCCAGGGACCCCCCCCAGAGAACCAACAAATCGGACATCAGACGACAGCTAGCTGAAGCTGCCTGCAGATACTACGCCACTGCAGATTCAGCAAACAGCAAGGGACATAAGGGCGAAGACATTCTAAGAACCAGGGCCCAGGCAGATTCTAGGGAGAAAGCCAGCACCACCTGCCGACATGCAAGCAGGCATAAGACAGCGACACCTCATCCCGCAGGATCGGCGCAAACAGCTTCAACAAGGCAACAACGAGCTAGCCACCAAGCCCAAGGCACCAGATCCAGGAACAGCCCCAAGTGCCTCTACATCCTCCTAAAGCCAGTCAGCAGACAACTCCAGGAGGGAAAAGAAATGCGAGGCCGAAGCCAGTAGGCCACGAGCGCGCAAGTCCTCAGCAACATGCACAGCTGAAAAGGAGGGAACCTGCACATGAAGCTGCACAATGCCAATGTCCTGAGGAAGGGCAGGGGTAAACAAGCACTCATTGAGGTACTCAAACTTGCCCCCCCAGGAAAACCTGGACCACTGTCAACGCCTCACGCCACTCAACCATGTGGGAACAATAGAAGGTATGCCACGCCCCCAAACCAAAAACAGGACCGTCCATTAGCCAGGACGACTCTGGAACCTCATAACGGATCCAGTAGGGAAATAAAGACCCGAACCTAAACGAAGACGGATCCATAATAGAGGTGTAATCCGGGCAGGAGCTAAGCCGCAAAGGCCTCCCGCACCACATGAGGCTGGATGCGGGAAGCCAAAAACCTCCGGAAAGACAGGACGGAAGCACCCGAAGGGAAACTCAATCGAACCCGGGGAGGG